CGACCGTCATAAGGATGAGTCAGTGGCCGAGCATCCGAATTTTGATAAGCCGGAACATGGGGATGCTGCAACGGTCGTAAGTGTGAAAACCGGTCATATGTCACTTTTTGCAGTGCCGTTGTAACTTTGAACGGTCGCTAAATGAACTGTTGTAAGTCGAGGACTGCCTATATAAATGGCCCAAAGGAATTTTGCGTATTTTTGGCTAAAGGTGCTTTTTCAAGTCATCAAACATCAAAGACGAGCCCAGAATCGATAGGTACAAAATTCAGAAATTATTTGAAGCTTGCCGAAATTCATATAAACTTGGGACGGAAGGGAAATTTAAGAGAATTTCTCACACTTATGTCGCTGGTGCCATTGAAACAACACCCTGTATTGTTGTTGTTGTTTTTGTACTGCAGGGTGATCTGCTTTCCCTTTAATAATAGCAAGGCATTCAGAAGTGTTTTATTTGATTTATCCTCCGGGCAGAAATGCATCTGTTTGACTAAATGTTGCAAAATTTTGTTTTATGAGCTGTAACATTCTGCAAAAGTTAATGAACTAGTGCCAGAGTATCTGGCTTCCTTTTTGTCCTGTTTGCAATTATTTGCCGAGTTTATGTTATTACAATCATTGTAATAATTGTAATAAAAATAACGATCTCTCTGTCCTTCCAACCATCCTCTCTCTTGGTGGATTTACCTACCTACGGTACCTACCTAACTACCCATCTTCTCATGGTTCCTCCATCTAATTGATCCCTCATCCATCCATCCATCCTTCCTATTTCTCTCTTGGTGGACCTACCTACTTTCTGATGATCTATCCATCTATTTCATCCATCCATCCATCCATCCATCCATCCATGTTCTCTCTTGGTGAACTTATGAATTTACCTATCTACCTTCTCATTAGAATTCATCTAATTGATCCATCCATCCATATATCTAACCATCCGTCCATCCATCCATCCATGTATGTTTTCTCTTGGTGGACCTACCTATATACCGGTACCTACCTTCTAATGGTCTGTCCATCTATTCTATTTGATCCGTCCATCCAACCTCTCTCCTGGTGGATGTACCTATCTACCCACCTTATTGCCCAACCATTTGATCCATCCATCCATCCATCCATCCATCCATCCATCCATCCATCCATCCATGTTCTCTCTTGGTGAATTTACCTACCTACCTCCTAATGGTTAATCCATCTAATTGATCCATCCATCCATATATCTAACCATCCATTGATCCATCCATCCGTCCATCCGTCCATCCATCCATCCATCCATCCATCCATCCATCCATCCATCCTCTCTCTTGGTGGATGTACCTATCTACCCACCTTATTGCCCAATCATTTGATCCATCCATCCATCCATCCAGCCAGCCAGCCACCTTCTCTTGGTGGACCTACCTACCTACCTACTTTCTGATGATCTATCCATCTATTTCATCCATCCATCCATCCATCCATCCATCCATCCATCCATCCATCATCCATCTTCTCTCTTGGTGAACTTACCTACCTACCTTCTAATGGTTAATCCATCTAATTGATCTATCCACCCATATATCTAACCATCCATTGATCCATCCATCCATCCGTCGTCCATCCATCCATCCATCCATCCATCCATCCATCCATCCATCCATGTTCTCTCTTGGTGGACCTACCTACCTACCTACCCACCTTATTGTCCATCCATTTGAACCGTCCATTCATTCATCCCTCCATCCATCTACCCACCCACTCACGAATAACCCCCTTGCTCTCTCTTGCTTCATCCGCCACCTATTCCCCATTTTCAGTAATGAAGTCAGTTATAATAATGAGCAGTTAAATAAGATAATGCATCATTCTTCCTCTTTTGCAGGAGAAAACTTTTTAAAGCACTAGTGAACCAATTTCGGATATTGATCCAAAAGCCATCCTTCTCTTTCCTGAATGGTGTCTTCCCCTTTGACTTTTGTTTTTCCACCTCCTACTTAGATTATTTTAAATTTTCTCTGGACTTTTTGTGGGTAGTGATTCTGTGACATTCTTCTTTTTTTAATTTTTTTTTTACTTTTGGAAGGTCAGCCTGAACATTAACTTCATTGTTCTCTAACTCTCTCCTGGATGATCTAATTTCAGCAGCGATTAAGGCAAACGCTGCTGCAGAGTCTTATTCAGTATTTAGATATATTTTTTTTCAGAGAAAATTGGAGGAGAGGAAGGGAGCAGGGGATTGCAAGACTGCCTGGGAAATTGTCATGGAACATTGAAAACGAAGATCATGTGACCGCAGCAGTGGCCAATAGCATCGAATCAGCCCTAACCCCCCCAAATTTCATTCTCTTGGGAGTCATGGGTGTCCAGGTTTGGGTGCATTCTGTAAATTAACCCATTTGGGGTACCTTGCTTCAAAAATGTTTGCCCAACGATGCACTGTTTCGCCCAGTTAAAGGTCACAACAACAAGAATGTTAGTAGTACAGGTAGTCCTTGACTTAGGACTACAATTGAGCCCAACATTTCTGTTGCTATGTGAGACAGTTGTTAAGTGAGTTTTGACCGATCTTACGACCTTTCTTGCCACAATTGTTAAGCGAGTCGCTGCTGTTGTTAAGTCAATAACATGGGTTGTTAAGCGAACCTGGCTTCCCCATTGACTTCGCTTGTCAAAAGGTCGCAAAAGGGGATCACGTGACCCCCCGGGACACTGCAATCATAAATGATAATCATAAATGTGAGTCAGTCGCCAAAGCATCCGAATTTTGATCACGTGCCATGGGGACATCGCAACGGTCGTAAGCGGGACAAACTATCAATAGTCACTTTTCTCAGTCATGTTGTAACTTCGAACGGTCACTAACTGAACTGCTGTAAGTTGAGGCCGACGTGTGTTAAATACAATTTCTAGATGTCTTCAAGGGTCCCCCCATGAGCAGTGCATTGCAGTAGTCAAGACACATGACTGTAGGGCAGGGGTCAGCAACCTGCGGCTCCGGAGCTGCATGTGGCTCTTTCACCCCTCTGCTGTGGCTCCTTGTCACTCAAAATATGCGTCACAACCGCCAATGTGCGACATCCGCCGGCACGCGATTTATTGAGCTTTTCAACCTCCAGTAGGCCAACCATGGATAAATCCAAGAAAATAAATATTTCAGAAGAAAACAGAACATTTAATTCAACTACATATACTAGTTTTGTGGCCGCTCAAGAAATAGTCAGGCACAGGAAGGGTTTTGTGGCTCCCGGTGTTTTCTTTTCTGTGGGAAACGGGTCCAAATGGCTCTTTGAGTGTTTAAGGTTGCAGACCCCTGCTGTAGGGAATGCTGCAATGGTCATAAGTGTGAAAAATGGACATATTGCCCTTTGAATGGTCACTAAATGAATGGCTATAAGTCAAGGGCTACCTGTACTGTATGTCAGCGTTCCAGCGCTGACATATGAAAGGAGAGAAGAAGCTTGAACTTTTGCCTACTTAATTCCTTTGAAGATTCTGTTTCCTCGGAGATGGGATGAGGAGAGTGGCTTGGAAGATAGCCAATGAGACGCAGAGAATTGGGGATCGGAAAGGGAGGGCTTGGGGGGCAAAGGTCAGTGCTGACCGCGAAAGAGCCAGGGACAGATCACTATGCTCAATAAAGAGAAAATTTCCTCAAAGATCGGCAGTTTGGAAATTCATTTATTTTGAGATAGCATCGAAACCTGACACTGTACAGTTAGTCCTTGACTTACAACAGTTCTTTTAGTGACCATTCAAAGTTACAACGGCACTGAAAACAGTGACTTAGGACCATTTTGCTCATCATGTGATCAAAATTCTGACGTTTGGCAACTGGCTCATATTTATGACAGTTGCAGCGTCCCAAGGTCACGAAACTTCCTTTTACGACCTTCTGAGAAGCAAAGTCAATTGGGAAGCCAGATTCACTCAACGGCCATTTTACTAATTCAACAAAGGCGATGATTGACTTAACCGCCGCGACAAGAAAATTCGTAACATGGGGCAAAGTCACTTTTAAGAAATGTTTTCACTTAGCAACCTAAACTTTGGGCCTCAACTGTGGTCGTAACTCGAGGACGACCTGTATCTAGATATAATTATGATCCTTTTAATTACGATACTTAATACTTTACTTTTGTGCCCGTTTATTGGGTCTTCAGGGACGTGGTGGCTCAGTGGCTAAGACGCTGAACTTGTCGATCGAAAGGTCAGCAGTTCGGCAGTTCGAATCCCGAGTGCTGCGTAACAGGGTGAGCTCCCGTTACTTGTCCCAGCTTCTGCCAACCTAGCAATTCGAAAGCAAGTAAAAAATGCAAGTAAAAAAATAGGGACCACCTTTGGTGGGAAGGTAACAGTGTTCCGTGTGCCTTTGGCGTTGAGTCATGCCGGCCACATGACCACGGAGATGTCTTCGGACAGCGCTGGCTCTTCGGCTTTGAAACAGAGATGAACACCCCCCCCTAGAGTCAGGAATGACTAGCACATATGTGCGAGGGGAACCTTTACCTTTACCTTTATGGGGTCTTCCCTTTCTGTGGTGGGTTGGAGGTTTTAGAAACATTTTGTGATGTCACAGCATTTGGACCAATAGCAGGACGAGCCCAGAAAAGGCCCAAACTTTCAGATCAAAGGAATTTCTGCAGCTGTAGCCTCCATTGGAGGCCTGGTGGCTCAGCAGACTAAAAGCATTGTGATTAACACCAGCTGTCTGCAAATACTGTAAGTTCGAATCTCACCAGGCTCAAGGTTGACTGAGCCTTCCATCCTTTCTAAGGTAGGTGAAATGAGGACCCAGTTTGTGGGGGCAATAAGCTGACTTTGTATAAATATACAAAAGTATGAAGGCTATTGCTTAACGCATTGTAAGCCACCCTGAGTCTCCGGAGAAGGGCGGCATATAAATCAAATAAAAAAAAAAAAATTGGCTTTTGCTTGTCATGAGGACCAGAATCTCCCCTTTCCTGGAGTAATATCGGGGTGCTGCTGTCTGACCTCCTCTTTTTTTTTTGCAATTGCAGATGAAGCTTCCTTGGGGAGCAATTCCCAGCATGGTGCTATCATTCGGTGGGACGGAGTTTGTCGTGCTGACAGTCAAAAGGTGGAGGAAAAAAAAAATCCAGTTCCTTGAAACAGCTGGGAAGAATAGAAGGTAACAGATAACAGATTAAAAGAGTTGGAAGGGACCTTTTAGGACATCTAGTCCAACCCCCCACGTAAGCAGGAGACCCTACACCATTTCTGACAAATGGCAGTTGGAAAATGGTACAAATGGGAAGGCTTGTAGAAGGCAGCTGGGCCCATTTTACAGATGGCTTGACTGAGGACTTTTCATTTGAGTCTCAAGGGGGGGGGGGCGGGTTTATCTGCCACCCAAAAGGCGGCTTCAGCCAGTATGCTCAGTGCACACTGGCTTTTTTTTTCCATCTTTTTTTTTTTCCATCTCCTGCTCTCTGAACAAAACCTGTCAGGGTCACCGAATGACAAGGAATAATTACAGAGTGTTGAATTAATATCAGGGTGTAATTAACTTGTGGAAGTCATTGGTCCCGTGATTTTTGGAGGGAGCACAATTGGCTTTAAGGAGATCAGAATAGTTTGGGGAAGGATGGACTGTTATAGGTCACTCCTTCTCCTCTCCCTTCCCTTCCCTTCCCTTCCCTTCCCTTCCCTTCCCTCCCCTCCCCTCCCCTCCCCTCCTTTCCTTTCCTTTCCTTTCCTTTCCTTTCCCTCCCCTCCCCTCTTCCTTTCCCTTCCCTTTCCTCCTCTCCTCTCCCTCCCCTCCCCTCCCCTCCCCTCCCCTCCCCTCCCCTCCCTTCCCTTCCTTTCCTTTCCTTTCCTTTCCCTCCCCTCCCCTCCCCTCCCCTCCTTTCCTTTCCTTTCCCTTCCTTTCCTCCTCTCCTCTCCTCTCCCTTCCCTTCCCTTCCCTTCCCTCCCTTCCCTTCCCTTCCCTCCCCTCCCCTCCCCTCCCCTCCCCTCCCCTCCCCTCCCCTCCCCTCCCCTCCTTTCCTTTCCTTTCCTTTCCTTTCCTTTCCTTTCCCTCCCCTCCCCCCCCTCCCCTCCTTTCCTTCCTTTCCTTTCCTTCCTTTCCTTTCCTTTCCTTTCCCTCCCCTCCCTCCCCTCCTTTCCTTTCCTTTCCTTTCCTTTCCCTCCCCTCCCCTCTTCCTTTCCCTTCCCTTTCCTCCTCTCCTCTCCCTCCCCTCCCTCCCCTCCCCTCCCCTCCCCTCCCCTCCCTTCCCTTCCTTTCCTTTCCTTTCCTTTCCCTCCCCTCCCCTCCCCTCCCCTCCTTTCCTTTCCTTTCCCTTCCCTTTCCTCCTCTCCTCTCCTCTCCCTTCCCTTCCCTTCCCTTCCCTTCCCTTCCCTTCCCTCCCCTCCCCTCCCCTCCCCTCCCCTCCCCTCCCCTCCCCTCCCCTCCCCTCCTTTCCTTTCCTTTCCTTTCCTTTCCTTTCCTTTCCTTTCCTTTCCTTTCCCTCCCCTCCCCTCCCCTCCCCTCCTTTCCTTCCTTTCCTTTCCTTTCCTTTCCTTTCCTTTCCTTTCCCTCCCCTCCCCTCCCCTCCTTTCCTTTCCTTTCCTTTCCTTTCCTTTCCTTTCCTTCCCTCCCCTCCCCTCCCCTCCCCTCCTTTCCTTTCCTTTCCGTTCCTTTCCTTCTTTCCCTTCCCTCCCCTCCCCTCCCCTCCTTTCCTTTCCTTTCCCCTCCTCTCCTCTCCTCTCCTCCCCTCCCTCCCTTCCCTTCCCTTCCCTCTCCTCTCCTCCCCTCCCTTCCTTCTCTTCTCTTCCCTTCCCTTCACTTCCCCTCCTTCCCTTCCCTTCCCTTCCCTTCCCTTCCCTTCCCTTCCTTTCCTTTCCTTTCCTTTCCCTTCCCTTCCCTTCTCCTCCTTCCTTTCCTTTCCTTTCCTTTCCTTTCCTTTCCTTTCCTTTCCTTTCCTCTCCTCTCCTCTCCTCTCCTCTCCCTCCCTCCCTCCCCTCCCCTCCCCTCCCCTCCTTTCCTTTCCATTCCTTCCCTTCCCTTCTCCTCCTTCCTTTCCTTTCCTTTCCTTTCCTTTCCTTTCCTTTCCTTTCCATTCCCTTCCCTTCCCTTCTCCTCCTTCCTTTCCTTTCCTTTCCTTTCCTTTCCTTTCCTTTCCTTTCCTTTCCTTTCCTTTCCTTTCCTCTCCTCTCCTCTCCTCTCCTCTCCCTCCCTCCCTTCCCTCCCCTCCCCTCCCCTCCTTTCCTTTCCTTTCCTTTCCTTTCCTTTCCTTTCCTTTCCTTTCCTTTCCTTTCCTCTCCTCTCCTCTCCTCTCCTCCCCTCCCCTCCCCTCCCCTTCTCTTCCCTTCCCTCCCCTCCCCTCAGTCCTTGTCTGAGACTGCTGGCTGGACAAATGAAATAAATAAAATAAAAAATAAAGGGATGTGCCTTGAACTGCAGAATTGTGGTTCCCGTCTTCACCTCTTCAACGACAGGTTAGGCGAGACCTGGCTCAAAAAACGGCACCTGTGAGAGGGACCTTGGAGTCCTAGTGGACGATCGTTTGAATATGAGCCAGCCGTGTGCAGCAGCCGCCACCGCCAAAAAAGCGAATACAATCCTGGGTTGTTTAAACAGAGGCATAGAATCAAGATCACATGAAGTATTAGTGCCGCTTTACAAACCCTTAAGTGAGACCACACCTGGAATAACTGCAACCAATTTTGGTCACCACACTACAAAAAAAGATGTTGAGACTTTGGAAAAAATGTCAAGAAGAGCAACTAAGACGATTGAAGGCCTGGAGACTAAAACATCTGAAGAACGGTTGCAGGATTTGGGGTTTGGCTAGTCTAGTGAAGAGAAGGACTAGGTGCGACATGATAGCAGTTTTCCAGTATCTGAGGGGCTGCCACAAAGAAGAGGGGGGTCAAATTATTCTCCAAAGCACCAGAAGGCAGGAGAAGAAACAATGGATGGAAACTAACCAAGGAGAGAAGCAACCTGGAATTAAGGAGAAACTCCCTAACAGTGAGGACAATTAGCCAGTGGAACAGCTTGCCACCAGAAGTTGTGGGTGCTCCATCACTGGAGGCTTTTAAAAAGAGACTGGACAGTCACTTGTCTGAAATGGTATAGGATCTCCTGCTTGAGCAGGGGGCTTGACTAGAAGACCTCCAAGGTCCCTTCCCACTCTATTTTGATCCTGATTCTTATTTATTTATTTATTTATTTATTTATTTATTTATTTATTTATTTATTAAATTTTTATACCGCCCCCTCTCCCGAAGGACTCGGGGCGGTGAACAGCCAAAATTAAAAAAACATACAATATAAACATTAAAATACTATAAAAACAAAATTAAATTTATATTGGCTTCCCCCAATTTAAAACCCCTTACCCATAAAATTCAGCAATTAAAAGATTTTTAACCCAGCCCGGCTTGCTGAAATAAAAAAAAGTCTTCAGAGCCCGGCGGAAGGTCCGGAGGTCCGGGATCAGTCGTATCCCTGGGGGTAGCTCATTCCAGAGGGCGGGTGCCCGCACAGAGAAGGCTCTTCCCCGGGGGGGTCGCCAGCCGACATTGCCTGACCGACGGCACCCTGAGGAGGCCCTCTCTGTGGGAGCGTATTGGCCGGTGGGAGGTTATCGGTGGCAGAAGGTGGTCTCGTAAATAACCGGGCCCTAAGCCATGGAGCGCTTTGAAGATGAGAACCAATACCTTGAAGCGCACCTGGAAGACCACTGGAAGCCAATGCAGCTCGTGCAGGAGAGGTGTCACGTGGGAGCACCATGTCGCCCCCCATAAGTACCCGCACGGCTGCATTCTGCACCAGTTGGAGCCTCTGAGTGCTCCTCAAAGGTAGCCCCATGTAGAGAGCGTTGCAGTAGTCCAGGCGGGAAGTGACGAGGGCATGAGTGACCGTGCATAAGGAGTCCCGATCCAGAAAGGGACGCAACTGGCGTATCAGGCGAACCTGATAGAAAGCCCCCCTGGCCACGGCCGTCATATGCTCTTCTAAAGACAGCCGTGCATCCAGGAGGACACCCAAGTTATGCACCCTCTCCGTGGGGGCCAATGTCTCACCCCCAATAGTCAGCGATGGCACCAGCTGGCTATATCGGGACGCCGGAAACCACAGCCACTCGGTCTTGGAGAGGTTGAGTCGGAGCCTGTTCCTCCCCATCCAGACCCACACGGCCTCCAGGTATTCTTATTGTAAGTCAAGGGCTACCTGTGTCCTGTGTGTTCCCTTTTGCTAATTTTCACTGTTGCATTTTAGGAGTGAACCAGAAGAGGCTACCACCGCCACTGTCCACCCCTCCTGATTTCCAGATCTGGCTGTCCAGATTTCCTTCGGCATCGCAGCCGGAACCGCTGACCGAGCGATGAGGCTACATTAGGATGAGGGCATCAACCCAGCTGTTTTTTTTTTGGTGCTTCCTACCACTCCCTCTTTGGAGTTTCTGGTTTCAGCCGCGAGGGAGAAACAGGTTTTAAGGAGGAGGTTTGGCCCAGCCGCTGGTTTGAAAAGGAGAAATTCAAGCTTGCCGATGGGCGTGGGGAGGGTGGAGCGAAGGAAAGTTTCGGTGTTCGGCAAGAGGCGAAACCACGTTTCTGAAGGTGTAACTTTCTTTTCTTTTTCTTTTTTTTTGCAAAAAGTTTTTTATTTTTTAAACAAACACAACATAAAAACATCGTCCTTCCAAAACAATCACGGACAGTGTTTTGATCGGTTAAAATCATTTCGTGCTCTCAAAGAATTTTCACAGTGTCATTATATGACAAATGTTTTTTCCCTCTAGCAGAAAACAAATATTTAAACATTTTATCCAAATTTCATGACCAAATTTCATGATCCTGACCAAAATGGATTCCTGCCAAAAAGACAAATAAGAGACAATATAAGAATAATTTTGGCTACCTTAAAATATTATGAAGCTCATCCTGAAAGGCAGATGGCTTTGATATTTCTAGATGCACAAAAAGCCTTTGATAATGTGAATTGGCGATTTATGATGTTACAAATGGAGGAGATGGATGAGATTGGAAAGAAATTTCTTCAGGCAATTGAAGCTATATACTCTAAACAAAAGGCCAAGGTTATGATAAATGGAGAACTGTCTGATTTTATTGAAGGTGTAACTATTTCTTATGGAGGGAGCTTAATTTCAGGGTTAAATCTCCCCGTGCTCTGCGAACAGATCTCAGATATGGCTTTGGAGAGTGACTTTGGGTAGAAAAGGCCATCGTAGGCAAGCCCTGTCGTTTCTGAGAACCATGAGGACTGGAAACTTACTGCCGTTCCAAATGAATTTATTTATTCAATTAATGCCTGTCTGTCTTCCAATATTTGAGGGGCTGCCTCAAAGAAGGGGGGGGGTTTCCACCTATTCTCCAAAGCACCAGAAAGCAATGAGAAGAAACAATGAATAGAAACCAGGGGTGAAATCCAGAAGGTTCCGACAGGTTCTGAAGAACTGGTAGCGGAAATTTTTGAGCAGTTCGGAGAACCGGCAGCGGGAATTTTGAGTAGTTTGGAGAACTGGCAAATACTACCTCTGGCTGGACCCAGAGTGGGGAGGGAATGGGGATTTTGCAGTATTCTTCCCCTGGAGTGTGGTGGGAACGGAGATTTTGCAGTATCCTTCCCCAAGCCACACCACGCCCACCAAGCCATGCCCACAGAACCGGTAGTAAGAAAATTTGGATTTCACCACTGATAGAAACTACAGCTGGTCTTCAACGTACGACCACAATTGAGCCCAAAATTTATGTGGCTAAGCAAGACAGGTGTTAATTGAATGTTGCCCCATTTTACTGGCCTTTCTTACCACAGTTGTTAAGTGAATCGCTGCACTTGTTCAATTGGGAACACGATTGTTAAGTGAGTCTAGTTTCCCCGTTGCCTTTGCTTGCCGGAAGGGTCGCAAACGGGGATCGCGTGACCCCGGGACACTGATGACGGTCATAAATGTGAATCAGTTGTCAAGCATCCAAATACGTGAACACGGGGACGCTGCAATGGTCGTAAGTGTGAAAAATGGTCATAAGTCTCTTTTTTCAGTGCCGTTGTAACTTTGAATGTCCACTAAGCGAACTGTTCTAAGTTGTAATCAAGGAGAGGAGCAACCTAAAACTAAGGAGGAATTTCCTGTCAGAGAGAACAATTAACCAGTGGAACAGCTTGCCACCAGAATTTCTGGGTGTTCCAACACTGGAAGTTTTTAAGAAGAGATTGGACAACTATTTGTCTGAAATGCTATATGCAGGGGTGAAATCCAGCAGGTTCTGACAGGCTCTGGAGAACCGGTAGCGGAAATTTTGAGTAGTTCGGAGAACCGGCAAATACCACCTCTGGCTGGCTCCAGAGTGGGGTGGGAATGGAGATTTTGCAATACCCTTCCCCTGCCACGCCCACTAAGCCATGCCCACCAAGCCATATCACGCCCACAGAACCGGTAGTAAAAAAAAATTGGATTTCACCACTGGTATATAGTCTCTTGGGATTGGACTAGAAGACCTCCAAGGTCCCTTCCAACTCTGTTATTCTGTTAAGTGACTCTGGGAGGCTTATGAACATATAATGTGAAATATAACTCCTGGTTGGCAGGCAGACAGAGCCAGATTTAAACCTGGATAAGCAATCAGCTCTCAGTTCTCGGAAAACTACTCCGGATTAAGCTAGAATTAGATAGATTTGCATTTAATGCCCTCGGCCTGGAAAAAGGTCAATGTGAGCCATTTTGTGTCTTCTCCTGCCTAAGACGGCATCAAGCTGGCTTCCTGTCTGAACCTTCTACTTCAGGACGAACCTTGGATGCATCTACGGGTAGTCCTCGACTTATGACCGCCTGTGTGCTGAAGCGATGTGGACGTTAAGCGAGCCATGACAGATTTTCCAAGCTTGTTTGGCACCGTCCTTAAGCAAAGTGACTTCTGACTGCCAGTTGGTGTTCATGGATGTCTTCAGCCTGTTTGTCTTACCTGTTAATGGCTCTTACCTTGTATATTGTACCTGAGTCCCGTCCTTCCTTAAATAAATCTGTACGAGAGAAAAACCTATTCCCTGAACGCACCCAAACATGCGTAATTGAAATAATGTTTACAATATGCATCTAAGAAAAATGCACTAATTTATCCGGAAACCAGATAGCAGTAACTGTGAGAGGGATTGTTGGAGTTTTACTGGACAACCAGTTAAATATGAAGAAGAATAGAATAGAATAGAATTCTTTATTGGCCAAGAGCCTTGGTGGCGCAGCAGACTAAAGTGCTGTTAAGTAGCACCAGCTGCCTGCAATTACTGCGAGTTCAAATTTCACCAGGCTCAAGGTTGACTCAGCCTTCCATCCTTCCGAGGTAGGTAAAATGAGGACCCGGATTGTGGGGGCAATAAGCTGACTTTGTATAAAAAATAAAACACCGCTTAGTGGGGGCCGAAAGCCCTACTAAGCAGGTATATACAAAAGTATGAAGGCTATTGCTTAACGCATTGTAAGCCGCCCTGAGTCTCCGGAGAAGGGCGGCATATAAATCGAACCAATAAATAAATAAATAAATAAGTGTGATTGGACACACAAGGAATTTGTCTTTGGTGCATACGCTCTCAGAGTACATAAAAGAAAAGATACATTCGTCAAGAATCATAAGGTACAACACTTAACGATAGTCATAGGGAAACAGTCAATATAAATCTTAAGGATACCAGCAACAAAGTTATAGTCATATGGTCATAAGTGGGAGGAGATGGGTGATAGGAACGATGAGAAAATTAATAGTAATGCAGACTTATGAGCCAACAGTGTGCGGTGGCAACCAAAAACCTCAATGCAATTCTATTTTAATGCATTAACAGAAGTCAAGGGAGGTACTAATACCACTCTATAAAGTCTTAGTAAGACCACACCTAGAGTACTGCATCCAGTTTTGGTCACCACACCAAAAAAAAGATGTTGACTTTAGAAAAAGTGCAGAGAAGAGCAACCAGGATGATGAGGGGACTGGAGGCTAAAACATATGAAGAACGGTTGCAGGAACCGGGCATGGCTAGTCTAGTGAAGAGAAGGACCAGGGGAGACATGATAGCAGTCTTCCAATATTGAGGAGCTGCTACAGAGAGGAGGGAGTCAAGCTATTCTCCAAAGCACCTGAAGGCCAGACAAGGAATAATGGATGGAAACTGAACAAGGAGAGATTCAACCTAGAAATGAGGAGAAATTTTCTGACAGTGAGAACGATCAACCCATGGAGCAGAAGTTGCCTTCGGAAGTTGTGGGAGCTTCATCACTGGAGGCTTTCAAGAAGAGACTGGACTGCCATCTGTCAGAAATGGCGTAGGGTCTCCTGCTTGGGTGAGGGCAGTGGTGGGTTGCCCCCGGTTCAGACTGGTTCGCAAGAACCAGTAGTAAAACCAGCGGGAGGCTCCGCCCACCGACCTGGATGTCAACAGGAAGCTTCTGCGTGGCCCCGTTGCGAACCTGTAGTAAAGGTAAGTAGAACCCATCCCTGGGTGAGGGGTTTGACTAGATGACCTACAAGGTCCCTTCCAACTCTGTTAATCTGACTACAAGAAACCATGGATGGAAGTGAATCAAGGAGAGAAGCAACCTGGAATTAAGGAGAAACATTGAGGACAATTAACCAGTGGAACAGCTTGCCACCAGAAGTTGTGGGAGCTTCATCCCTGGAAGCTTTCAAGAAGGGACTGGCCTGCCATTAGTCAGAAATGATTTGAGGTCTCCTGGTTGGGCGGGGGGGTTGGACTAGATGACCTACAAGGTCCCTGCCAACTCTGTTAATTTGTTAAATCTGTTAATAGATACGTGCTAGATTAGAAAGTGGAAAATGGAAGAAATTTTCTTTCTGCTGCCTCTGATTTTACTAAAAGAATTGTCGGATTGGATCGGCAATCCGGCTTCTCTTCATCTTAAAAGGCACGAAGGGAGCCATGGGAGGGGCTCAGCTTGGGTTGTGTGAAAAGGAGTTGGGGGTCCTTGAGAAAAGCATTAAACCAGAGCTAACTTGTGGGCAACGATTCTCTTGGGGTACACGGACAGGAGTCCAGTGTCCGGATCTTTGACCCTCTTGGTCAGACCTCCTTCTGGATTTCTGCGCTCACTTCTCATTCAGTGACAGATAGTGGGTAGTCCTCCAATTACGACCACAATTGAGCCCAAAATTCCTATTACCAAGCGAGACAGTCGTTAAGTGAGTTTTTGCTCCATTTTATGATCATTCTGACTACGGTTGTTAAGTGAATCACTTCTGTTGTTAAGTTAGTCACACGGTTGATAAGCAAATCGGGTTTCCCCATGGACTTTGTGGTCGCAAGGTCGCAAAAGCAGATCCCGGGACAGTGTAACTATCATAAAAACAGGTAGTCCTCAACTTACGACCACAATTGAGCCCAAAAGTTACGTTGCTAAGGGAGAGATTTGTCAAATGAGTATTTGCCCTGTTTTACAACTTTTTTTTTGGGCCGCATTTGTTAAAACAAGTCACTGTACTTGTTCAATTAGTCCCACGGTTGTTAAGTGAATCTGATTTCCCCGTTGTCAGAAGGTCGTAAAAGGGGGATCACATGACTCTGGGACACTGTCGTCAAGCATCCGAATATAAATCACGTGAACACGGGGATACAACTGTCGTAAGTGTGAGAAATGGTCCCAAGTCCCGTGCTGTTGTAAATTCGAATGGTCACTAAACGAACGGTCGTAAGTCAAGGACCACTTGCATGAACCAAGCATCTGAATTTTGTCCCAAGTCAATTTTTTCCCCAGTGCAATTGTAAGTTCAATCCATCGCTAGACAAATGGTTGTAAGAAAAGGACTGTCGGTATTTTGTGTTCTTATTTTCCAGGCTGCATTTTATCAATGCGCCGTAGCGAGTTTGTTTGTTTTTCGACAGCACGACAAATAAAACGGAGACACCGTTTCATTTTGCACAGCGAGTTTGATTCCGGCGTGATCAGAAATAGGAGAATAAATAAAATTTCTGTAGCGCTCAATTCTTTTCATCATGCAGGGCACTTTAAATCATGATCGTTCAAGCCTTTTCCTTTCATGGCCTCAGAAGAACCTGGGCTTCTCTCTACAGGTAGTCCTCGAGTTACGACCGCAACGGAGTCCCAAATTTCTATGGCTAAGCGAGACAGTTCTTAAGTGAATTTTGCCCCATTTTACGACCTTTTAAGTGAATCACTGCAGCTATTAAGCTAGGAACACGGTTGTTAAATGAATCTGGCTTCCCCATTGTCTTTGTTTGTCAGAAGGTCGCAAAAGGGGATTACGCGACCCCAGGAGACAGCAACGGTCGTAAGTATGAATCAGTTGCCAAGCGTCTGAATTGTGATCACATGACCATGGGGACACTGCATCGGTCGTAAGAGTGAGGACTGGTCACAAGTCACTTTTTCCCCAGCGGCGTTGTAAATTCAAACAAGTCATTAAATGAACAGTCATAAATCAAGGACTCCCAGTAACGGTTTTCAAATGTATTTATTTATTCCATTCGTTGAGCCACTGATCCGACGGCCGGCTTTTTTTCTCCATCCATCCCACCAAATTAGGATATCCTGGCATAATAAACTCTGCAGCTGGTAAGAAGAAAGCAATTTTATTTTCAGCCAAAGGCAAAATTGGTTTTCTATTTGTCCTCCCGTTCCCTGCCTGACGGTAAGCGGGAAAAGACCCCCGTGATTTTATTTAAAAAAATTGAGGATTTGAGCAAGCGAAGCAGGGAATTGTTGAGTAAAAAGATCTCCGGAGGGTGTTAAGAAATTTCTTAAAGATAATTCACAGCCCCTAGGAATAATAATAATAATAATAACAACAGCCAGGATGATAATAATCCTTAATTGCAGTTAAAAGGAAAAATTAAAACAATATATGCGGTGAAGTCTGACGACTTTGCTATGGAAGGTCATTCTCTGAACACATTTTAAAGAGCGTTTAGGCCTCGTTTCTCCTTTGTGGCTGTTGTGGTTTATTGAGTACAGGTAGTCCTCAACCTACGAACACAAAATTTATGTTGCTAGGTGAGACATTTGTTAAGGGAGTTTTGCCCCGTTTTATGACTTTTCCTGCTGCAGTTGTTAAGTTAGAAACACAGTTATTAAGTGAATCCAGTTCCCCCGTTGACTTTGCTTGTCAGAAGGTTGCAGAGGCGGATCACATGACTGTCGGGGCGCTGCAACTATCATAAACGTGAGTCAGTTGTCAAGCATCTGAATCAGTGGTGGGATTCAGCCGGTTCGGACCGGTTCGGGTGAATCGGTAGTTAAATTGCTAGCTGGCCCCTTCCTACCACTTCCCGCCCCATCCCTTCCAGGAGTCCCCACATACCCCATTTTGGCTCTCAGGTAAGTGCAGGGAGACCTCCTAGGCCCAAAATGGGGCACGGGGGAGGCATGCCCCCCCCACGGCCCATTTTCACTCCAAGGAGGCTTCAGGGAGGCTTACTAGGTCCATTTTTGCTTCCCAGGAGGCTTCAGGGAGGCCTTCTAGGCCCAAAACGGGACATGTGTGTGTGTGTGTGGCATTGCCCACCCGGCCCATTTTTGCTCCCAGGGGGGTACAGGAGGCCGAGTGCTGTCTGTCACACCCCCTGGCCACGCCCACCATGGCCACGCCCACCCAGCTGGTTATTAGGGCAGAGCCTTGGTGGCGCAGCAGACTAAAGCACTGTTAAGATAACACCAGCTGCCTGCAATTACTTCAAGTTCGAATCTCACCAGGCTCAAGGTTGACTCAGCCTTCCATCCTTCCGAGGTAGGTAAAATGAGGACCCGGTTTGTGGGGGCAATAAGCTGACTTTGTATAAAAAAGAATACCGCTGGGAGGGGCGAAAGCCCTACTAAGCAGGTATATACAAAAAGTATGAAGGCTATTGCTTAATGCATTGTAAGCCGCCCTGAGTCTCCGGAAAAGGGCAGCATATAAATCGAACCAATAAATAAATAAATAAATAAATAAATAAATAAATAAATAAATAAATAAATAAACGAGTTGTTAAATTATTTGAATCCCACCACTGATCCAAATGTAAATCACGTGACTATGGGAATGCCGAAACATTCGTAACTGTGAAAAACGGTTGTAAGTCACTTTTTTCAGTGCCGTTGTAACTTTGAATGTTCACTAAGTGAACTTTTGCAAGTCGAAGAAAACCTCTACTGTATATAATACACACGTCCCGGACTGACAATTTGAGGGACAGAGCAGAAAGAAACATCCACATTCCTCTTCACAACAATCCTGGCAGATAGAAAAGGCACCCCTCCTTCCATCCATCATCCTTCCATCCTCCACCCATCCACTTCTGCATGCATGCATGCCTCCATGCCTGCATGCATCCATGCATTCATCCATGCATCCACCCACCTATGCATGCAGTCCATCCGTCCATCCATCCATCCACCCATCCATCCATCTGTATCCCCGCCCATCTCAAACAATTGGCTCTGGGTGTGAACAATCCTAAAATCAATTA